AGAAATATTGGTGCATATATATATATATATTTTTTTTTTTATTTTTTTATTTTTTTTTTTTGTATGAAAATTAATTTCATATGTATATATACACAATTTGCATATTATATTTTTATATACTAAAAATTAAATATATTTTTTATTAAAATGAAAAATATAATATATTTATTTGTTCATATTCAGTGGAAATGTTGCATTTAAAAAATTAGTTGTAAATGAGCTTTGAGAACGGTGCACTGACTCAAATATTAAAGTTAACGTAAAGTCAGAATTGTTTTTATTTCCCACAGCGTAAAATCAAGCTCCACCCTGCATTTGTTTTTTTAATCATCCTTTTTTTGCTTGGAAATGCATCCGATTACAGATGTAAAATCATTTTTGAAAGTAGTTTTATGTTCACTTGAAACACTGAAAAGTTTTCGTGACTTACGTGTCTCCTGAGCGTCTGTAGTTCGCCGGACAGTCGAAGTTCAGGCATTTATTTCCGCCCTGAATGTTGAAGCAGCTCTCAGATTCGCTGCAGCTGTGAGTACCGGTTACACACTCATCGATATCTGATCACCAAAACGAAACACATCAGTGTTAATCATGGCCTGAATGATGATTTCATATTTATATGTTTCAATGAAACATTTTGCTCTATTTAAAGTGATTTTTACTATGGTTAAAACTACCGCCACAAGATAAAGTGGTTTAATAAAACATACTGACGTTAAATGCATTTGTAATAATTATTACAATATTTAGTCTGTATATACAATATATAGTTGTAAGCAGCACTGATATCCTACTCCTAAATATAATATACGTAGAAACTTAAAATTTTTCGAAAAACTGCTTTGCAACGATTTGTATAGTGAAAAGCACTATACAAATAAACTTGAATTGAATTGAACTGAAAATGAATTGAGATGTCCTGATTGTGATATGGCGTGTCTGACCCTGGCAGCTGCGTCCGTTGGTGGCGAGGGTGTATCCTGTGGTGGGACAGGTGCAGTGGAAGCTCCCCGGTGTGTTGTGGCAGCGGTAAGAGCAGATGTGTCCGCCGGTGGGCAGCGCACACTCATCGATGTCTGAAGGAAACATCACAGTTACAGTCAAACCAAAAATTATTCAGACACCACATATCATTTTTGATATTGTTTGACTAGCGGATGCACAATACGTGTATCATTTGTTTTTTTATTTAATACTGAAAGTAGAAAAATGAGAAAACGGCTCCTTTTTCCTTTTTTCCCAAAAAACGAAAAATTATAATTCAGCTTAAATTTTCGTTTTTCGTTCAGGTGTAGAAAAATGAACCAATAGCTTGAATATTTGATTTCTACATGTGGGCGGGAATTAAAAAGATGAAATGTAGTTGCAATAAATGCGTTATGAATCCGTACAACTGCAGCAGCGGAGGACTATTATTCTGCTTTTTTCTTTAATTTCTAATGCGACCTTTTTACACCACAGACTGAACAAAATTAAGCATTGCTTGGTAATTGGTTGACCTAAATTGGTATTATCTAATTGTGTACTTAAATTTAACAGCTGAATAATTTTGGTTGATTGTAATCCATTACACACCTTTCTATCAAAGTTATCTGACATTATCAAGATGAATTTGTTCTGACACAGTTTAACTAATAAATAAATTTGCAAAGGTGTTAAAAACTTGTTATTTGCTTTGTCATTATGGTGTATGGAGTGTAGATTGATGAGGAAAAAAAGTTTAACATAAGGCTGTAACATAACAAAATGTGAAAAAAAATGAATACTTTCGCAAGGCACTGTATATATATATATATATATATATATATATATAGCTAATAATGTTAGATAACTTTTATAGAAAGTATCAAGATGAATTTGTTCTGACACAGTTTAACTGAGTTCTTGTCATATTTTATTACCATTTTCTAAATTATAGCGAATAAACTGTGATAACGTGAGAAATGTTGAAGGAGTCTGAATAAATTTTGGTTTGCTGTACTTCCTCCACTGCACAGACGGCTGTGTTTGGCAGCGAGCGCTCACCTTCACAGGTGACGCCGTCCATGTCACTCAGCTGATACCCGCGGCGGCAGTAGCACTGGTAGGAGCCGTAGACATTCGCACACTCCTGACTGCACGGGCTGCTCTCGCACTCATTGAGGTCTGGTTAAAGCACAGGTTAGTGCATGAATGAGAGTAAAGAGTTGATTAGTAGTTGCTCATATTGGTTTTCCTGTACCGTCGCAGTTCCTGCCGTCGGCAGCCAGCTTGAAGCCCGTGGTGCAGCTGCACTTGTAGGAGCCCAGGATGTTTTCACACTTGTGCGCACACAGACGGCCGGGATAATTCCTGCATTCATTGATGTCTGATGTTCAAGAGAAAGAAATACGGCATTCAGATCAACAGGTACATTTAAATAACTTTAATCATTTAAATAAAATATGTATTTTTTATTTTTTTTATTTAAATAGTATCAGTGCTATTTTAATATTATTATTTATAATTATATTATTTGATTAAAAATGTATATTTAACATTATATATATATATATATATATATACATACATACATACAGGGTTGGGAGGGTTACTTTTAAAATGTATTCCGTTACAGTTACAAATTACTTCATTAAAAAAGTATTCAGTAACGTAATCCATATACCACAGTATAAAAGTAATGTAATCTGATTACTTTTGGATTACCTCAAGTTACATATGTAAATAAGTCAAAAAAGCTTTTATTTAATAAATATTAGTACTTATGAAGATACTAGTACTTATGAAGATACTCATAGTATATGAAGAGTTCAGATGCAAAAGCATTTAGGCATTATGCATTAAACGCAACGTCAAAATTTTATATATTCCTGCATTCATTGATGTCTGATGTTCAAGAGAAAGAAATACAGCATACAGATCAACAGGAGACGAACACTGAACACATATTTTCTGGCTAATAAATGCAAATGCATCAACCCTGGTGTGGGTTTGAATGTGCAACCTTTCAGTCGGCAGCTCTGCAGCGCTAACCCACAGCACTCACCCTCACAGGATCTGCTAATGCTGTTGAAGATGAAGCCGACCCTGCATTCGCAGCGGTACGAGCCCACCAGATTAATACAGCCGTGACCGTCACAGGAGTTATCAGGCCCCGCACACTCGTCGATATCTGACACACACACACACACACACACACACACACACACAGATCAGAGATCAGAGACTGCTCATGATTAACATTGACAAGTGGAACACTCTGAAACTAATATGGCCTCGAATGAGCTTTAAGTCAACATAAAAATGCCATTTGCAACCCATTTTATTTCTATAATGTGATGCATTTCTGAGTGCTACATTATGTATTATGTATAAGTATACGAAGTCCACGTGAATTAATATTTATATAAAATGAATAATAATTATATTAAAATGATATTCAGAACCCATTTTATTTTCCATAATATGATGCATTTTTGAGTGAAACATTACTATGCAATATATTTATATATATTATAAATTGAAAAATATTTATTTGATTTATTATATTAATTATAGTTTTTTCTTTTGAAGTCTTGATTTTCAAGCATTTGTATTATTTGATTTTTTTTTTTTTTTCTTTCTGAAG